CCACAGCCATCCCAGCCAACGTTCGAGGTGTGAAGAAAAGAATTTTTCTGTGCAATAATCTTGATGCCTTTTTAAGATTTGTTGCTCTGCGGTGCTCTGCCTTAGTTGGAGCTGGACGTGAACGTGGACGTGGAGCTGCATTTCTGTTGTTGTCTTCGTTTCGTTTCGGTTGAAAAATGGTTTTGGGGGGCTTAAGAAAATTTACGCCATAAAATGTGAAAATAATTGGATACACACACACACACACATAGTGAGAGAGCGAGCTCCTTTTTTGAATGCATTTCAAATTGCTAATGATGAGAAGAGCGAAGGTTCAAGTCAAAGTGCTGCAAGTCTTGGCCAATTGCCGCAGATTCCTTCCGTGAGACAAGCTCAACTAAAAAAGCAAAGAAGAAGAAGCACAAGAAGAAGCAGAAACAGAAGAAAATAAAGTACCGAACAAAGTCGATTTTAGCAGGCGCGCAGCCAAGCATTAAATGCATTTATTTATGAGCTCTCTACCTACCCTCCTTTTGATATAATCTTGGCTAAGAAAATTGACGGCCCCATATGCATACGATGCGCATATTATGATATTGAATTTAACTAGAATTCACACCTTGAGGCCCCTCGAATGCACCTTAACAAACCATATAGACATGCATACAAACATATATGTATATTATAATATCTATACATACATATCTATGAAGCATAAGGCCAAGCCGCAGCTCGTGTTTAGCTGGAAAATCGACTTCAACTGATTGTTTTTTTGCACGTGTTAAATGATATGGAAAATCTAGCTGAGGTTTCGTTGCTAATAACAATCATAATGTTCACAATAATAAGCAATGAGGCCAAGCAATTTCATGGCATATTAAGCATCATTCATACAATCAAAGTTAGTCAGAGAGCCAGCGACTCCTTTGAAATCTTCGCACGGATGATGAAGCTGCAGCTCTCTAGCTTTTGGATTGGCTATGGTTAGATCCTCTTAAGAAGGAAATCATAAATCATGTTTTTAATCCTCTTAGTTGAGTTTTGCGAACATCATAAATTGCGTACAATATGAATCATAAATTCCTATTCCACAATAGGCAGGCTGGGTCTTCTTATAGGTTGATCAGGCAATGTGTAAGCCGGGACAGAAGGCAAAGTTTAGCTGGGAGAGTACAGAGATGTGTATTTATATATAAGGATGATCATAGACATATATATAATGTTGATTAGGAAGCTCCCAGAGAGAAGGAGACAAAGAGAGATCGACGTGCATGAGATGTACATAATCTGGGATAGATATTTGTCAGTAATAAATCAACAAAAAATTATATATGACAGAGATACATTCATACATATATCTAAGAAAAAAAAAATATATTATATACATACTAGATAAGAAAATATAAATATGATAAAGGTATTTTCCATATTTTAAAATATGAAGTAATATCAGTTAGTATATCACATAGTTGATAACGAATGAATTTATCTATACTAAAATTATTTTTCTAGTATTTCCATATAACCTTCCCAGTGCAATTTGCCATAAATTAATTAATAGATATAGTATATATCACATATATACTATTTTTAATGAATCGGTATATATAGTATACTGAAAACCTTGTCTAACAAATGATGGATATCAAAATGTTTTTCAAATGTAGATGGTATAAAAAATTGATTTAATACTACATTTTTTATGATGTTAGACAAAAATATGTTTGAGTTATCTATCATATAGATATATATGATACAGCTGACATACAAAATTTTATAAATATAGTTATATATACTTATTCATATATATATTTATATATAAAACATTTTTGCGGCGTATGAGAATCGCTAAATATACCAAAAAGATATTTCATTAAATTTTATAAATTTACTTTTTTGTTTCTATGTATATATTTATCATATCTCATTAATTGCTCTTTCAAGTAAAGATTAAAAATGATATCTGTTGAAAGCTTGATTAAAGCATGAACAAAATAATTTTGCATATATACAATTTAAATATATAAGAAATAAATCTATGTATATAAGTAAATATACATATTATACACATTTGTTTTCAAGCCATATCTACACTTTTTCATCCAAGTTACGTTTTTTCCAATTCTCTCGACACGATCGTTAAGCGAATCTTTATACTTGGAACGTGGCTTTCGCGCTAATTCATAAATATTTTAGCACATTACGAATCTTGGTTGAGTGCAAACAATATGCAATAAAAAATACAACAAAAAATAAATAAATTAAAAGCCAAGTAGTAGTAGTAGGTAGACGTTAAAAAAGAAGAAGAGGAATACGCACAAGGTACTCAGAATGCGGTTAAAAATTATCAGACCAACTACAAAAATCTAGAAATCCAGAATGCATTAACACCTCGCCGTGTGCTCAATAGAAACAGCAGGGGCATTCCTTCTCCCTCCCTCGCATCACACTCTCTGTGGCACCCTCATTATATGTGTATGTGTGTGTTTGTGTGTGTGTGTGTGCTAATGTGGTATATGCCAAGCCCTTGTAACAAAAAAAAAAAACGTTTTTTCTAAAGCTTCAAATGCAACAGCCGCAACAACAACAACAACAACAACAAATGCAACTTGCACAAATCGTGAAAACCCCCAGAAGAGCGAACAGACGAGGAAGAAGAGGAAAAAATAAAACCAGCACGAACACTCAGAGAGAGAAAACCCCAAAGAGAACCTCATAACTAAATTGCATTAAGTGTAATTATAACTAATTTGATATAAATAAATAAAAAAAAAGCCGCATAAATGGCACAAAAAAAAAATACATTTAAAAAAAAATTATTTTCATGTTTCTGCTCTCTTTCTCCCCTTCTCTCTCTATGTGTATCGCTGTCGACCGTGGCAAACGATTAAAGCCAGTGGAAATGCTGTGGAAATGATATGCGATTAGTGGAGAAATAAAATCCCCAACAGTAAATGAAATAATTGCTGAAATATTTGAATCAGCAGCCAGCAAAAGGCATTTCAATTGATTTATCTAAACAATTTTATAATAAGTACAATCCGGAAATAACTATACATTATATACATATGTAAGATAAAAGAGGAGAAGTAGCTTGAAGCTTGCATAGAATAGTATTTATATTTCTATGCTATAGAGTATATGTATAAAAATATAAAATCTTTGATTTCTATTTCTTAACAAATTATATACATTTATATATTTTATTTATATATTTCAGAAACTTTACTACTGTTAAGAGTGTTATTAATATAAATAAAATTTGCATTCTATTAAATTTAATTTTTATTTTTTAAAACCAAAATTTATGACATTTTATGATATATATAATTTTTATTATATTATTATAATCTGAGTTATATGATTTACACTCAGATTTCCTCTAATAAACGAATCAAGATTGCAATCTTGTAATGCTACAGCTGAGGCAATGCTATTATGCAGTTGAAATTTACAAATGAAAGATAGTTGAGAATAAAAAGCATGTGAGATCGTTTAGAGCAGATTAAGATTTCTTGAACTTGCGTTCAGATTTATTAAACTGAATGAAAGGCGCACTGTACCGACTGTACCGTCCGTGGATTTGTACAATTGCTTGATCAATTACCAGAGCAACAACATCAACAATGGGAGCAAGAACAACAACAACAACAACAACGAAGGCAACGGCAACGGCAACGGCAAGATATACAGATTGAAAGCACAGCATAGGCATTAGCATTAGTCCATAGATGGACTGCCTTTAGCTACGGTCAAGAGAGAGAGAGATGCAAAGCGAGCGAGCGAACGGGCACAATGAACCTGAGGTGGGGAGGCAGAGGGAAGGAGAGGGCACGCAGGCAGGCAAAATAAATCATTTAATATAGCGCGCTATTTATCATCTAACATTGCTGCATATCATTCTTCATCTTGGCACACGCACACACACAATCACAGTCAGACACACACACACACACACACACATACACACAGTTGGGTGCCTCAGGAGTAGACAAAAACAAAAACAAAAGTGGAAGTAGAAAACAAGTAAAAGCGCTGCAGGCGACAGAGGTCGACAGCGAGATTCCCTATATAAAGGCAATAGGAACTAGGGTATATGGGCGAAGGCATAAATAACTGTAAAGCGCAGCTGGCAGACACATTAAGAATCAGACATTAGGATGACCATAGCAATTCATACATATTATATTATCTAAATTAAACAAACTTCAACATGCCTGCTGATAAATTCAATATACCCTTTTCATAAGATTATTCAAAATGAGCATATAAATAGAAGTGAAGGCAAAATTAGCGTGAATGAAAACTGCTGGCTGAAACGTATGGCAATAGAGTTGATGGTGGGGGTGGCGTGGGAGTTGGGGGCATTTACACACCTAGCAAACGGTATTAAGAGAGAGCGGGTGGGGTAGGGGTACGTTGCGGTTGCACTCATATAAACAAATTGCGCGAACGGAGCAGCCAAAATGTCTGCTACGGCTATAAAGGCACAGCGTGTCTGTGTGTGTGTGACTGGATGTGTGTTTGTGTGAAAGAAATGTACAAATGTTTGACTGTCTGTCTGTCTGTATGTCTATTTGTCGTATCTTTTCTAGTGAACGATTCTGTGTTGTTTATTCGTCACTTTAACACGTTCGATGCTGACGCGCGCGCTGGCAGCGGGCAGCGGCTAGTGAGACAGCGGGACAGCGACTGAGGCAGCGACGCAACGTCACTGACACCGACACACATACACATGCACACACACGCACGTACACACAAAATAAACTAAACGCAAACGCAGCGGCAGAATTTATTTTTATTTAATGCGCGCCTGCCATACATTCACATGTATGCGTGCAAGCATATGTACATATGTGTGCTTGTATGTGTGTATGTGGTGCATGCCTATCAAGATTGAATTTGGTTTTTCGTTTGATTGTTTTGATTGTTGCCGCCAACTAGACTTACAGCAAATAAATGCGTAACAAAACAATATCACGTAAAAAGTTAAAATGCCTTAAAAACTACTATGTACGTACATTTTAGTGTGTGTGTATTTATTTTTGTTATTGCTGCTGCTGTGACTGTGATTTTATGCTCGCTCTCGCAAGCGCTCTTGTTCACTCACTCTCTCTCTTCTCAATCTCTGTGTAGAAGTTCTCACTTGTACTATTAGAATTTTGTTGCCTGCACATACGGCAATGCATTTTGCTTATTATGTGTTATCACACATATGCAATACACTTGCATTTAAATATTTTATGTTTTTAGTTAGTTTAATATTGATTTGGAACATACACGCGCTTTTGTTTTCGATTAATTAAGCGCGGAGAAACGCTAGAAACTCTCCCGACTCGACAACCTCACGCTATGACAACTAAACGAGAACTGATTGTAAATATTATATCGATAAGTTGAGAGTGTGTGAATGTTCAGCTGCGCTACGCTGCGACAACAGTCAGACCTGCTTTAACAGGGCTGACAAATTTCAAAAAATGTTCTTGAAAACAACTTTTTTGGCTCAATCAAATAATAAAAATGGCTAATTTTCTTATAAAAACAGGGACCATTAAATCCATTGAAGCAAAGAAACAATTTTAAGTTTGTTTTGCACGAGGGCTGCATAACGTACAGGGCTGTATTGCGTGGTTAGCTGAAAACACCTGTTTAACGGCAGAGGCGAATCAAAGACAGGGCTGTGCTAATGAAAACATCTGTTGTGTTTATGACAATGTCTGTTTTGCACACGATTACAAAATCTCTTCCGAAACGTTTATCAATAGCACAAGCGACTGGCAATGGCTTTCAACCAAATTATTGCTGTAGTGTTACCACATCACATACAAAACCTATAACTCCGATATCAATACCAATAGTACGCGGGATATGGGGCTATGTGGCTGTGGCCTTCAACCAGGTGGATAAGGATCGTTTGTCACGGGTGGGTCCCAATCGCCTTTGCGCCGAATGGATATTAAAAAATGGTGGAGGTGTTCGTTTCACTGAAAATCCAACAAAACTGTGGAAGGATTACAATCATCTGCCGGCGGAGAATGTACCGTTTCGTATTAAAGTTGTGGACGCCACCAATTCATCGATCATGAAAATTGGCTTGCACCATTTCGAAGGCTGCAAAAACATAGACACCGTTATATTTCACAAATGCAAGCATTTGGAAAACGACGGACTGGAGGGATTGGCATACATCAGCCAGTCGCTAACTCACCTACAGGTATCCGGATGTTATAATATCAGGGACTCCGGCTTGGCCATCATAAGCCAACTGCAAAATCTGAAGCAGTTGCTTATCTTCGATATGCCCTTCGTCAAGAATATAGATGAAGTGGCCAGAAGCCTGAAAAAAAGTCTGCCTGACTGTGACATACAGGCCACAAAGCGTGGAATATAATTTAAAAAGCACTGCGCTCTAAGCGAATAGATCGTATTGAAATTGTTGTTAATTTTTCTAGAAATAAAAGAGTTGAGCTGAGCACTTCAAAGGCCTTCTGAATACTAGAGTCAACACAGAAGCATTACGATACAATGAATTTGGGTGCTTGTGAAACTGTAAGTACTTTGGTTGCTATTAAATTAGAAAGCAAGTGCTTTTGAGTAAACTGGTTTCTTATGTTTGACCTGCCTACTAGATTTACAACTGGAGTTCAAGTATTTTCCTTAGCCAGCGAGTACTGTATTCTGCGAAACGACTCTGCCTTAAACGACTATATATCTCAGTAATATCTGTGATCCTGTCATGGAAAAGCTTTATCCTAGATTTAAATCGAATATGTATGTAAGCATAATTGATATGTAAGTAAAGTATCGAAGGATCTTTATAAATTCAATAACTAAATTAAAAATCCATGTTGTGTTTTGTATCCTGGTGTAATTGGTGCTATGCAGCATTGTTATAAAATGCCCTAAATAACTTATCAAATATTATTTGGTGTTCCGTGCAGTCTATCTGTATTAAGTACTAAATGATGTATAGTCTAGGTGGCAGCCAGTATATAAGGACGTATATCCTCCACATCCAAGAGCTGCTCAGGAGCCACACGCTCGCCACACATGGGACAGTCTCCAGTTTCTGACAGAATACTATGAGCAAATATAAGGTATATATTATATTTATAATATATATATTAATATATATAAGGTAGACTCACTTCTCCATCTCTCCGCGAAAACATAGAAAATCGCATTGCGGACAGGATGTCATTTGAGTTTTGATGATGTGCTGACCCGTTGCAATGCAAATGGGAAGCGTAGTCTTGCAACTGTAGCAGGTGACCTCCATGTTGGGCAGATTGGCATCGCAGATGGGACATTCCATTGTCTCGTCGTCGATCTCATCGCGTAGCTGTTTGATACCCTTCGGTGCTTTACGGACAATTGATTCGATCTTCTTAATATAACGTCCGTCCAGTTGATTGCGATAATCAGGACGCATGAGCATCGAGGCATAGGTAAAAGCGGATTTCTTTAGGCCAGCGCGATGGCATTCGATGACAGTCGAAGTGAGTATGGGCACAATATCTGCGGGTGATCAAGAATTAATATATATACCATACTAACATTTATATATCCAGTTTACGTTCTGGAAATTGTGAGATGCAGGCAGCCACTTGGACGAGCAGCTTGGCAGCCAGCAGATGATTGCCCAGCTTGACATGGATGCGCACGAGCGTATAGCGATGCAGCAATATCAAATTGTGCCGCATTTCAGCAGTCACCGAGAGATTATTGCGACGCAGCTCTTGATACATGGAGTAAAGTAAGTCTCTTGCAGATTTATAATTGCCCGAAATCTGCTCCTGATTGGCTATAATAACGGCTGTCTTAGCCGCATCTTTGAAGTGCTTCCGCGCCATATACAAGCGGAACAGATACCGGGGATCCTTGGGCACACCATCGAGTTCGCCCAGCAGGAATTCAATTAGCTGCGTGGCCAGCTGTTCATTATTGGAGGTGGCCACGCAATCAATGGCCAGCGATAGCGCCTGCGATTCCTCATTACTAAAAGCAGAGGCCTTGAGAAGGAATCGGAGGGCCTTGGTAAATTCTCTGGCCAGAAAATAATATTTGCCTGCTAGCAGCGTATATTTCTCGCTCTCGAAATAATGTGCCAATGCCAGATAATCGGCCGATTTGGCATTCTCATAGCGCTCCAGAAGCTCGCCATGGCGCCGCAACTTATTATGACGCTGAGCCAGAGCAAAGGCCTCCTCCACACAGCCGCAAATGACGAGGAACTGTAGAGCCTGCTCGATATCGTTGATTTTCTGATAGAACTTCGCCAGCATCTTGGCGGCATCCATTGAGCGTGATTCGAGGACTATTTCGGAGGCAGCATGCGGATCACAAAGATGATCTAGATAGATTCTAACGCATGCATCCAAATCCCCAGCAATGCGATAGCTGTTTATGGCTTGCTCGAACTGTCCGTCCGCTTCCTTGGCCTTGGCATAGGCCGCATGTAATTTGCTGCTCTTCACATGGCCCAATATATTGTTTGCCTTGTGCCACATCTTCAGAGAGATATAATGCCCGCAAGCCTCGTCGTAGTAGCCGCCACGTTCATAAAGTCCGGCCGCCTCTGTGAGGTGACCCACAGTGGCCAGCAGCTCGGCGCAGTCGAAGAGAAGCTGCTTGTCCTGCAGCTCCACAGCATATTGAATCTGGATGGAGTAATATTATAAACACTGTAGGAAACAATCTAAAGTTCCTTACGCCACGCCGAAAATCGCCCGCACGTATGGAGGTGCGTGCAATGCCCATTTTGCAGAGACGCACATGCTCCTCATATTCCGGTGTGCTGTGCAGCAAAGTGGGCGGCTCTGAGTCCTCGTTATTAATCAAATCCTCCTTGTAACCTTTCTCGTAATGATACAGAGCATCCGCATAGTTGCCACTAAAAGAAAAACTCTTCAAAAATGCATCTTTATGAGTTGTTATCGTCTTACGTAAATTCCAATTGTTGAGCGTACTCTCGCGCTATGAAAGGCACCTCATTCGGTTCGTATTTGTGCGCCAAGAGCAGCGCCTGATCCCATTGCAGCAAATCTCTGCTTAGATCCAGAGCAGCGCGTGTATACGATCCTTTCAGCAAGTACTCCTTGGCTTGATCGTACTGACCCAGCAGCATGCAACAGCAGCCGCACAACATGTGCAAATCCTCGACATAGACCAATTCGTCCAGCGCATTGACTAAAGCAGCATCGCCCAATTGACGATAGGCACGCAGAGCTGTCCATATGGAGAAAAATGTTGTTTAGATTGAAATAAATATTAAATTATAATTCATAGCTAACCAATTTCCGGCTCTAGATCGGCGATGGCATGCTCGCCAAACTGTCGCCAGGCGCTGTCCAATTGCATCTGCTCGCACAGCTTGTAGGCCTCGTCATATTTCTTGAGCTTCAGCAGCAGCAGCAGATTATCCGTTTGACTATTTGTGGGGTTGATGACATGTGTGCTCAAGCACTGCGTTGCATACTGCCCGCCATCGATGTGCAAAGCCATCTCACCCGCACAGACCAGCAGGGGCACCTGGCCAGGATTTAGCTTCGATTCACCCAATTTCTGACAGTATCTGCCACGCACGGAGTGACGCGTGAAGACATGCGTATAAACCAGGCGAGAGTCGTAGCTAATGAAAATATTCGATTGAGTCAAGTCCCACAGGCAACCCAAGCACTGTTTGGGCAGCTCCGCAATGAGCAGAGCCTCCTGATCCAAAGCCGGCAAATAGACAAAGCCCTGGCCATGTTCATCAATAAAAATTGTTTTGGTGCCCTCGACGTCTGTGTAAAGCTGCCGTATGCCATTGCTATGGCGATAGATAGTGCACGTATCCCACTTCTCCAGCGAGTAAAACACCAGATGGCCAATCTGAAAGGGCAAAGACCATAAATAGCAAATAGCAAAAAGTATTTTCCCTATTACACACATCCGTTGCAAAGATGAGCAGCTCCTGACTAAGAGCAAAGCATGTGATGACTGCATCGCTGGGCAGAGAGGAGGGCAGTGCACTGGGAAAGCATGCCTGCAGCTTATCCTTGCAGTTGGGATTATCCGCAGCGATTGCTTGCAGTATCAACTGTGGTGGGCACAGGGCAGCGCAGTAATCCGCATTTAATTTCATTGCCACAATATCGCTTGGCAGATCGCGTTCGCTGAGTGGACGCGGCTCATCGCCCAAAGTCTTGCCCAGATCATAGAACCAGACATGTTTGTCCAGGCCAGCAGCAAAAGTATACGGGCCAATGGCCAGAAATGAAGGCTCCGTCTCCAAGGGCAGGCGAAAAGGCAACGTTTTAGATTTATCTGGAGCATAGACATAAATAGAAACTTCCGCCAGGCTGCTCAACATGACCAGACGTGGAGCCGATACGGCAAACATGTGCGGTAACTTGGTTACATAGGTGTACACAGTGCCTCCACTGGTAGTGACTGCCAGGAGCTGTCCATCTGGTGACCAATCAATCATTTGCACGCTTGCATGATCCGGCACTGTGATAATTCGTTCCGTTTCCTGCAGATTTGTTATAGAGTGGATCTTGATACTGTGTGGATGAAGAAGAGAGGGTGAGAGATACTTCAATGAATAAATGTGGATCAACTAACTTGTCATCGCCGCAGGAGGCAACGATATCCAGAGATGGACAGTAGGCCAGGCCGGTGAGCGTATCCTTGTGGTTTCGCACTTGCCACAGCTCCTGGCCGACGTCCTTGGGATGCGTCGAAATAGCCACAACATGGCCATTGGAAAATCCTAACAGAATGTAGCCATCGCCAAACCATTTGTGCTGCAACAGCGAACCATAGCGACTCTGGAAGCCGAGTTCTGTTGGATTCTCCGGCTCCGGTAGATAGTACAGAAACAGCGTACGTTTGCCAATGATCATGCTAATGGCATTGTCGCCTGCTATGCGCTCATCATTCGCCATCTCTGCAAAGTACATATCGGAGGGGGCATCGCGCAGTTGAACAATGCGCACCGTATCACCATCTTCGCTGCTCAGTGAGAAGCTTTTGTCGTCGGAGCCGAGAGCAAGCAGATTCTGTGCTGACCATGCGCCGCAGGTAATTCGCTTGTTGTGCTTGCCAATCACCGGAGTTCGCTTCCCACTGCGATGATTATAGATGGCCACATTGCCACGTCCAGTGCCTACAGCCAAAATCTGCTGCTGCTTAGACCACAAGATGCAGGTGAGCGGATCACGCAGTCCAGATTCCACAGTCAGCTTTTGTTGGGTCGCATAATCCCAAAGAGTGATATTCGGCGAGCTGCTGGTAATGATCCCCAATAGATCTCCCTCGCAGTCCCAAGCAAAGCCAGAGCATAGACTAAAATTGGCAATTTACAATAAATATATTGATAGGCATATATCAATGTTACCCGGCTAATATGAGGC